GCGTGTGGGTCTTATGATGGTGCGCGCCTACAACAGGATGTTTGGGAGTTGGTTTCAGAGTGCTGGGCTTGGGATTCGGAATTGGTTGAAGTTCGGGGGGATGGGGATGGAGGATATGTTTTGGTAGGATGTCCTACCAGACGCGTTGGCGTGGGCCCAGCCCGCAATCCTCTGTACCCCAAGCAGGCCTTCACGCCGGCCACGAAGATCGGCGCGCGTGCAGTGACTGTGCCGCTCGACCGCAATAGCTGGGTCTCATCGGCACGGCATACCCTGTATCTTCAGGCCATGTTCCTCGGTCGCAAGCTCAGTACACATGATACCAGTAAATCGAAGAATTGCTCCTATTTGAGGCAGGGGTGCGGTGGCATGAATGGCGGTTACCATATAGTGGGTATAGGCGTCACCCACCGACCTGCACGTCCGGTCAACCCGAAGCTTTCTTTGTCTACCCTTACCTCATCGTGAGGGTTTGAGCTAGCGCCGATTGCCAAGTCAGAACCTCCCAGGCACGCGGACGCCCACTTGGCCAATCTGTATCTCGAACGAAGGGAAGTGTGTTCTTGGAAGGTGTTGTTTATTGAGAATCGGCGGCTGGTCTTAGCCAGAAGGTGCAGTTCTTCTAGTTGGGAATTGGGAAGAAGATGGGCGACCAGGCTGCAGACTGATGACGGGCTGCGCATCATCGATTTCGAGTGGACCGCAACCTGGTTGCTTCGAGCTGAGACACACAAGAGCCTTCTGCCACCGCAGCACGACTCACGAGCACAGGCACCGGATAGTGTCAAGGTGGTACCCAGACCCAAGCTTTCGCGGAGCCCAGGTAGTTGCACACGCCGCCCAAGACCTGGCATGCGTAGTCCGAGTCTGCTGCCCGATGCCCGGCCCTTCTGTTAGAGTGAGGCATTAGACTTTCGAGAGGGGATATGATGGGATGTACCTCCGGCACCTTATTGAGCTCAGTCGGAACAAGGTCTTTGCTTCCGAGATGTTGGGGTATTTAGGGCACTTGACGTTTTTTGAAGAGGTCGCGGCTTCGTTCTGGCCTTCATTCGCCCCTGCCCTGACCGATGAAGTGTTCAGGAAAGACCTCCGTCAGAAGCGGCTCTTCATCAAGGCACCCACGCATATTTCCAGTTTGTCAAGAATTCGTTTGGGATTCAAGGGCTGGCATTTCAGAAATTCTAAGATGCCTCCCAGGACCTGTTTTCAACACGTCTACTGCGCAGAGCAACTCCCGGACCCTCGCCTGTCTGAGCCCCTTGGGCTCCGCGAAGGCTTACTTGACAGCCTGTGCAGCCCCCACGACACCGGAGGACGAAGCGTGGCTTGCAAATTGGGCTCAGGGCACAGCAATGCACAGCAGCCATGTTTCAGAAGTTCGGCATCAACTATGGGCACCAATGTAGCAAAGTCAGCCCACACTCCTTGTCCTCCAACTCCCCAAGCCCCCGTTCAAGTACATGAGGAACCAGCAGCAGGTTCCCCAATCTCATCTCAGGTGGATGCACTCCTCTTCGATGCAGAGGCGCCTTGGGGGAGGAGGGAGGAGTCAAGTTCACAGTCAGGGGGGGGAGGCAGACCTGGGTAGCCACATGACAGTTTAAGGCACAGACAGTTTGCACCACCCACCCTAATGCTTCCCTCATACTACTGAAGTCTTGCTCGCGACTTGGTTTGTCGACTGGAGGGTCCCTGCCCCAGCCGAAGAGAAGTTCGAAAATGGACTTGGGAACTTTTTTGTTTTTTGCCATCTTTTGCCCAAGGCTTCAATTGCTGCATAATGTACTTCGCACGTCTTAATAAAGTTGTTCTTTCCTCCATCCAGCTCAGTAGTTCATGCTCGAAGTCCAGCATTCTTATGATCCTCAGCTTCGGCTTCCTGCTTTTGCTTCCCTTGTTTGGAGGTCTGCTTTTTGGCAAGCCACATGGGCCCGCTCTTCCCCGGAGACGACGATGATGAAAGTCGCTCCTTGACGTAAGTAGCGGCCGATGCATGGCACTTCGCAAAAATAAGCATAGCCCAACGAGGCTCATTCAGTCAATCTACTTGGACATGGGTAGAAGACGAAAGCCTGAGTCCCAAGCCCTTGGTCCGTGACACGCTTCGCACTCACCACGAAAAAGGGTGGACATGGCAGCGCACGCTGTGCAACATGCTGCTCCCTAGTCCCGACAGCGCAAGCCGCGCCCGACATGCTGAGAGGTTGGCTTTGCAACTTGGACATCTTCAACAAGTTCATCAGTTGCGCCCGCTCCTCGCGCACCTTGCGGCAGCAAGTCCTGGCAACCCGGCAGATGCAGAAGGGAGGCAAACACAACAAGAAGCAATAATGAAAGACCACAAGTGATTCTGTCTCGTAGGGCCGTAGGGCCTCGTAGCTAACTGTTAACTTCAAGCCCGCGTGCTTCTGCCCCCTCAACAGTACCATGCAATTATGCGGTCCCAGGCCATGGTCCCTTCAAGTCACCAAGAGCCCATGACGCCAGGAGGATGGTATCGCCAGGTACGTCAAGGATTCGACTTCCGGGGCGGGGCGGGTTCTTTGTGTCGGACCCTGCAAGCTCTGCAAGTCAAGTCTCTGCAAGCTCTGTCATGCCCACAAGGCGTGGGGCCACAAAGGCCTTGAAAGGGCTTAAGCGGTACATTGGAACATGCACACAGTGTTATGACCACTTCTGTATACCCCCCCCCCGCCATAACAGCATGCTTCATACAGCAATAATTATGCCCAGCACCAAGTTCCACATGAATTTGAAGGACCTACGCGGCGTCTGCATGCCTGGTAGTCCGGTGGTTCTCTGCACGTGCCAAGACCTGATCAACGCAGCTCGGTTCTGAGTTTCACGTGCTGCTGCTCCACAACAGGGCTTCGCTAGGGTTTGCCGAGTTTTTGAGGGCTATGGTGTATAGGGTTATGGACTTATTTCAGTTGTATTTGTTTGTCAAACTTTGAAGCTTGAGCTTGTGGTCTCGGCTTCAGGCCGCACTTAAAACCGGACTTTGCTGAGGAATTCTTGATGGCCCCCCCATCCTTCCCCCTGAGCGACGTACAGCATTTCTCCAGACAAGACGTGGCAGACTGCAATGTCGTGCTACGCAGGAGTGAGGGATTAGATTAGACATGCAATTTCGTGCAAATATATTTATGTGCATTCAAATCATGATCGTGTTCTTGGATTTTGGCCAGGAAGGTGCGCGGTGCGCGTCAGGTTTAGCATGATTGAGATCCTTTTGCCCCAACGTCAAAAAAATTAGGATCGGTTTTTCCTCCACGAAGACGGCGCGCTCTCGCCCGATGCCCGCCGCGACATGGAACTTGGCCGGCAATCTATACTGTAGTTATCGTGGGCGGCATGGGCTATCGAAAGCCATTGGGGGTTTGCACTTCTAAGCTGGTGTTGTGACGGCGTGAGCCAGTCTACTTGCCAAAAGGTTCGGCTGTGGAAAAAGGTGTACTTGTGGGATGTTTTGGGTAGTCAGCAGTAACCCTAAACCCGGCACTTTCCCCGTTCCCCTGAGTAGGGCCACTCCTCTGAGGCCTTGGGCACGGATGCCGATGGCTGGCTGGTGCTTGTGGAACGTTCTGCGGGATCGCTGCGAGCCCCGGACCAATAATCAACCCGAGGGGTTTGCCTGGGGCGGGGGGGGGGGGCGGGGTTGAGGGGGTTTGAGGAGGTTTAGGCTTCAGGGTGCTCTAGAATTAGGGATGCAGATTTGGGAAGATTCGCTTGGGGCAGCATCCCAGTTCAGTAGGTCTGTTGCGGTGATGTGCCTCGCGAGAAGCAACAAGTGTTCCTGAGAACCCCCCGGCTCAGTTTCAAGCTTCCGGGCCATTCAAATTTCTCCCCTGTCCTGCGAACACCGCATAACACCGCCATGATGCGAAGTCAAGGATTCCAGGTGGTGGACGCCGAGGGTAAAACCCCGCAGGCTGGCACGGGGGGGGAGTTCAGGTCAGGGTGGCTTGGGGCTTTCCTTTCCGAGAGATGCCCATGCCAATATGATGCGTGGTCGCAAGAGCGCGGTGACATAACCCCCCGAAGGCCTATATAAACTATATGAAGCCCTGATGCAAAGACAGCAAAGACATCAAAAGACCCTGAACCCGAAAACTCTCATGGAGCCCAGGCCCTGGTTCTCCAGAGCGACCCGGGCCGCGGAGTGGTTGGTACGGAAGAAGCTTCGCAGCCTACTGCACTGCTCTGTCACATCCTCCTCCGGTTTCTTGGGGCGGGGGGTGGGGACCTCGTTGTGCTTTTTTGGGGCTCTTTTATGTCTTAGAGCCTTGGGGCGAACATGGATTGTAACGGCTTCTATGGGGGCCGTCAGTATGTGCTGCTAAAAACCCAGCCAAGGAAAGCGCGGTGGGCCCTGTGCAGGCCTTCTGGCAGGGAGCTTCTTTGGGTTTCCGACTTGAATTGACAGGTAACAGCTAGGCTTGGTCTTGCTGACTTTCATCATCTCATGGCTTCGGTTTTAGTGCTTTGGGGCCGCGGCGTGGTGCGTCCGTAGCATTTCTAAGCTCAAGATCAACCGTCACGATGCCGACCAAAGTACAGCTGATGGTCAAGCACGTGATGAAGCGCGCGAGGGCTTTTCCCAGCATACGGAAACTTGGCCAATTTCCAAGAAGCAACTAAGGGCCTCTGAACCCTGAACCTTGTAAGCTTCATTCCCAAGAGGCAAGAACATGCAAGCTTCATTCCCGCATGTATTGGGCGAGTAAGGAAGCGGCATGTGTTCTTGGCCTCTGCGGCTTTGCTGTGCTTGATGCAATCCGGCAGACTTCTACATGCTGAAGAGCCTCCCGAGGCACCTTCTGACGATTTTTTAGAACTGTCTCCAGGACAGCTTTAGAGGTTGTCCTTTGTGAGGTCCTCGTGCAATCTACGGGGCTTCTTCGACTGAAATAGAGGTTTAGTCTGCACATTTCGGCACGCAATGCCTTCAGGTAAGCAGTCACACCATGCAGTCGCAGGTGAAAGCGTATGCTCTGATGGCTGGCAGCGAGAGGCATGGGCTTGTTCCCAGCCAGCATGGAAAGACTGGACTGAAGACGTTTAGTGTCCCTACTCGGGACAGACTAGACTCCTGGCGGGCGACGGTCGTGAATCAGCTGGGTTTTCGTCTCTTTCGATTGCTCGCGCCGGCCAGCGAGAATGTTCTGATTTCCCCACTCTCCATTTCTGGCTGCCTCTCCATGGTAGCAGCCGGCTCAACCGAGGGATCCGGGACTGAGAAGGAGCTAATGTCCTTATTGACCATGTTGGTGCCGAACCTGGCCGCTGACAGCCCCGTGAAGATGGCGAACTCTGCTTGGGTCCGCGGACAAATCCGCAAAGAACCTTGGGGGCCAAGTGAACCCTGAAAAATTGGGGTCATCGAACCTCTCGTACGAAAAACAATCATTACTCCAGGGCCTCCTATGAAGCCCCCGCAACACACCCCTGATGAATCATCTTGAGCGGTTCCTTATTGGAAGAGTCGCCTTGAGGAATACGTGGACTCCGTGAAGGCAGACTTTGGGGCGGAGGCTCGGGAGCTGATGAGCACGGACCCAAAGCCCATCAACGACTGGGTCAATGAGACACCTGCGGCATGTGCAGCAGATTTTTTTCGTTGAGTTTAGGAGAGGTCTTTGACCTCCTCGTTGTGTTGGAGATGATACGGCGGCTTACCAAAAAAACGGGACCCCGAAAATTTATATAGGAGGATTCCTCGAAAAAGGACCCCAATAAGGTACCCCCTAATTTCGGAAACCCCCCAAATACTTTTTTTTGACGCATCAAGCTTCCTTTTGACCGGGTCCACGGCGGGAGGAAGACAGAGGGGCGCATCCCGACGCTCTTCGACAACAAGCTGGATGACCTCACTGTGCCTTGGTGAAAAAGGGTTTAGGGTTTAGGGAGAGCTTAAGGTTTGTAGGGTTTAGGGGGTTAGAGGGATATTCATGTCTGGACTAGCGCAGGCAGACATGCATGCAGAACCCAACTCCAAACCCAAAAGAGTGAAACAACGAATCCCGATCTAAGATGTTCAACCACACACGCTGTCATCAAGGAACTACGCACGCCACCAAACGAGAGTGTTCTTGGAGCTTCCAATCCAATAAACAACGAAGTTTTGGAAGCAGCTTTCGGCCTACCAAAGTTAGCAGCCTTCCCTGACCCTGGTATGGCGAAAAATGGGTTCTTGCTCACGCGATCCGTAGCCGTATTCGGGGTCCAAAAAACTTCAAGGAGCTGTCAAACCACTCTGATGACGGGAACCTTGATTGCACTCTCAACCCATGCACACTAAACACTGTGGCTGCGGCTCAAGCCAAGTCCGGTCGAGGCGCTCTGCCTTGACGTTCCGGTAACGCGACCACTCTACTAGCGTGCGCGGGCTGGGAGAGGCTCCTTATTGTTGTGACTTACAAGGGTTCCGCAAGCCCGAGAAATGGAGTCTCCCTGCCCCCGCACAACGCCGCATGCCAGCATGTGGCCCGTGCTGCTCAGTGTGCTGACGACCACGAGCGCCGTGCAGCACCGCATGCCGGAGTACAACCGCTCCGAGCTCTCCATAATGATTCCGGAGCCGAGGCCATTGACAAGCTTGCCTTTGGTGGCCCTCCAGGCTCACACGCACTTCCCTGAGCTACAGGTGCAAATCCTCCACGGCCTGGCCAACGAGGAGTTTGTGTACCAGGAGAAGACCCTCAAGAATCTGCGAAACAAGGGGGTCCTGGTTCTAACGCGTCTACCTTCAAACTTCTTTCAGGGCAACCTGTCTACAGACCGCTACTCCTCCATGCTCAAAGCTCCCGACTTCTGGTCTTCCGCGCTGACGCCGAAGATCTTGCTGGCACAGACAGATACCTGGCTCTGCAACTCGGCCCATGCAAGCATCAGGCCCTTTTTGCCCTACGACTACGTAGGGGCTCCTTGGGGCCACTTGGTGGCGGACTGTCCCGACAAGGGCGGCAACGGCGGCTTCTCTTTGAGGGACCGGGAGGCCATGTTGCGTGTGACCAGGCGCCCGCTTCAAAGTCTCAATGACCTCCTGCTACCGGAGGATGTGTTCTTCTGCAACCACGCGTCCCTGAAGCTGCCTCCCCGGCAGCTTGCCCGACACTTTGCCCGCGAGGAGAAGATTGAGCAAAGCAACGAGAATGCCGCAGAGAGCCTCGTGGGTGTGCACAAGCTGGTGACGGGTGACAGCAACGGCTTCACGAAGGAAGAGGCCCTCACCTTCTTCGAAGACCGCTGCCCGGGTGTGTCGCTGATGGTCCAGGCCATGGGCCGATTGGATACCAGCTTTGGGTGGAAAGAGAGCGACAACTTGGTGCAGAAATGGATGAGGGAGGTAAGGCAGCGCCTCATCCTCTCCCAGCGGCCGAGCCAGGGCCTCGCGGCGCTGAACCTCCGCCTTCTTTCGAGCGCCGGTATTGGGGGTTAATTCTCGGCTTCTGTCAACATCTGGAGGTTATAGAGCACTTAAGTGAGAGCGATGTTGTGCAGCTGCTGGGTTCGCGCTGAAAGAGCTCTGCCCTATAGACAACAACGTCGAAAGTGACGTCACTGGTGAACAGACCGACGAACTGAAGCCTTGCCAGCCGTGCGTGAACCACGGGTTGTTTTTTTTTTTTTTTTTTTTCGGCGGTTTTCTGGGCATTCTTGGGCAGCATGAGCTTAGGTCCTGGTCCTGGTGAACACAGTGTTCTTCAAGGCCAGGCCCAAATCATTTTTCTGGAGCAAAGCCTAGCAGGTCTTGTTGTTTCTAGGGTTTACGGCTTACAGCTGTATACATATAAAGTTGCACACATGGCGCTGGCAAGGGCTCATGGGCGAAAAGCTTCGACGTGGCGCAGACCCGGAACTCAGAGTTCAAAGGCTTCTCATCACAGCTCCAATGCGACATGATGCACAAGAAGGACTCCGTTCTCCATGAGTTTGCCGTCTCTCTTGCTTCTTGGGCATAGAAACGGCCTGGTGCCAAAAGCAAGGGCAGGCCCTAACCCCACAACCTGCTCTGTTTCAACCCTGAGCCCCAAGAGTCCTTTCTTGATGGCGAGCACCGGTGTCTCGCAGGAGAAGGAGATGCTGTATACGGAGAATGATCAATTCCAAGCTGTACGTTTGCCATACAACGATGATCAGACATGGGCAACTTCGTCCTCCCTTTCCAGACATTTGAGCTTTTGTGAGAGAGAGTGTGGTTGGCTGGTTTAGGCTTTAAGAGCATGTAGAGTCGTTTGTGAGATTTTTTCGTGTTTTGTCCTGGGGTGGAGAAGAAAGGCCACGATCATTCTGCCACGCGAAGAGGGTGTGGGAGCGCTGTCCGAGGTGACTTGGGCTTTTGTCAGTGTGCTTTGTTGTGCCAGACACTGCCGTTTTTGATGAGGACTACCATACCAGACCGGCGGAACATGAAGTTGGGTTGGTTCGAGTTGGAGTATGTTGGGGCAGTCACAAACCCTAGACCATCAGTCCAGCCCATACCCTACAAGTCCTAATCCCTAAACCCTAAACCCTACACCCCCAAAGCTTGAGGTGGCCAATTCCTTGGAGCTGGCCTGGGATTCCTTAAACAAGGAGACGGGCCGTTTTGCGAAAGGATATGTTTTTGTTTAGAGGTTCCGTTGGCCCTTAGCACTGAACTAGATTCCGAATTCGAAGCTATACACAAAGTAGGCGTCCCCCTCACATAGGAACACCTGAATGTTTCAGGATGCTCCACCCTAAACCCTCAACCCTAAATTCCCTCCCACTTTTTGACCAGAGCTCCAAGAACATGAAGAGGAACTTCTCAAGACTGAAGTGCAGCTCGCCCTGCCCCGATTCAGCCTGAGTGCCTCGGGCTCTGAACCGGCAGGGATGTGGTTTAGGGTTAGGGGTTTAGGGGTTTAGGGGTTTAGGGGTTTAGGGGTTTAGGGGTTTAGGGGTTTAGGGGTTTAGGGGTTTAGGGGTTTAGGGGTTAGGGTTTAGGGTTTAGGGGCTTCGGTTCCTTCGGGTTGGGCGTCTTGGGTCGGGTTTTTGGGGTTTTGGGGTTGCCGGCGTTCTTGCTGTTATTATTTTGACATCGCGTGCAATTGGGGCTCAAGTAACATGAGTAACATCCCGGTGAACTTCGTGCTTGTCGCCAGCCCCAAAACGTAAGCCCCCTTGTTTGGACTCGTCCCGATCCTCCCTGGAATTGTCGCAGTGTGGACTCTGCGTCGTATCCTTGCCTCGCGCAAGTGTGAGTGTCGAAACTTGGGATGCTCCCCCTCATACGAACAGTCCTTGCTAGGGATTGCAGTACCCCTATTAGAATCCCGTTTAGGGACTGCGATTTGCAAGCCTTGAGGTTGAGGTCGCTTGACGTTCTTGGATGTTACATTTAAAGTTTCTGGGAAGTAAGCCGATGCAATTGTCATTGTGTCAGCTGCCGTACAGAGTCTGGGTTCAAAAAAGGGACTGTTAGTATAAAACCCTAAACCCCAAAACCCTAAACCCTACATCCCAAGTCGAAACCATGCTTCACCTTTTGGAGCATTTTTTGCTGGATGCTTGTGCTCTCGGAGCCCTGCCGGCCATAAGCTCCAAGCCCTCAGTTCCCAACCCCGACCCCGAATTGGGCCCCAACAACGAGCCAGGGCCGCAAAAATCCACCCGGAGTTCTTGTTTTGTTTTGGTATTGTGCTTGTTCGGGTTTCGGGTTTGGGCTTTTGGTGGGATGTTTCGTGCCTTTTGGAGCCAGAATCATCGCAACCCAGGTGCTGGTGGTTCGATCAAGTGGGCTTTGCAGAAGCTGGGCCTCCAGGACATCTACTTGCTTTAGAATGTACAGCCAGGTCTACCTGCTGGGTCTTTGGGAGGCTTACTGAAGGTGTTGGGGCCTCAAGTTGCTCAAGGAGCCACTTTCAGTTTCGGCATGTTGCAATCAATCTCCGGAATTCATTCATCGCCCAGCTCAAGACAGTTTCCCTGCACATAGGAACCGGTGATGGAATGTCGACATCTTGAAACCCACTGCGACACGCCGCCTTACAAGTGTACAAGGGTAGAGCTTAGGGTGCAGTGCTTTCGGTTGAGAGAGCTCTTGCCTCTTGCTCTTTTTCCTTTGTCTCTACAGACACAGGGGGTCCATTCATGATGCGCATCTGGCAGCTACAGACGCATACTTATGCATACGCATGTCACATGTATACATACATATATATATATATGTATGTATATATTTATTTAGATGTGCCTATTGCGTGTGCATTCCTAAAACGGAACTGTCACGACTCCAACGCCCACCCTCCACCCCCCCACCCCCCCACCCCATATTTCAAAGCCTTGGAGGAAGCCTTCAAATCCTCGGGCGGATTCCTTAGGATGACAGAGGACCCGCCACCTGGCTTCTGTTTGGTCTTGGTCTTTTGTGGCCTATGAAGGGTTTCATGTCTGTCGCGTCTTGACGTGTGCCAGCTGGGCTTCAGACCTCCAGACATCATGGCTCAAAATGCAAAAAACTCAAGCGCAGCTCAGGGATCTCTTGGCAGATTGCAGGGCTTGGTTCTGCACTACGAGGGAGGGAGGGAGATAGGGCTTCCCACTGAACTGGACTCCAAGCCACAATGTATCTTCAACGGCTGAACCTGACTTCATGGAGTTCGTGTCCGAAAGCGAAAAACCGGCCAACACACTCCTAAGGGGGACAGGAAGAAGCACGACTGAGTGTGGGGGGAGGAGGGGCCGAGCAGCAAACCCGAGACAAGAACAGGGCGAACCTTTGCCATCTTTGTGGGGACCCAGCCTGGTTCACACAGCCAGGGCGCAGAACTTGTGGGGCTGGGAAGCCCCCCATTTTTTCGTTGCTGCGTCCCGACCGCAGAGAAGAATCGGAATCACCACACGGACATGGAATTGATCAAGGGCCGGGCGTTGGACTGACTCTCACCACTGAGCTACCGCCATGGCCAGAAATGTTGCGAGACTGGCCACCCACAAAAGGGTAATCGGCTTAGCCTCGAACCTCCAACCTCCAAGCTAGAGCATCCGGTAACAGCGCTTGTGTACTTCGATTGCAGCTGGGCTGTTGGCAAGGTAAGGCCCGCATGCCGTGCGCAACGCAGCTCATTGCAGTCTCATCTTGAAGTTATCCTCTTGAACCGCAAAGAACAAGGCTCTCCATGCACACTGCCCAAATTCGGTTCTCATGTCGTGTAATGAGTGGTGGTATGTTAGCTTGTGGATTCTACTGGAGCCTTGCCTGCGCGTGCGCTAGTGTGAGAGTTGAAACCTTGAACACTGAAGCCTCATCAGCCTACTACCCCAAACCCTGAACCCTAAACCTTTTGTCACTGAAACAGACAAACAAAAACCAGTTCAATGCTGCACTAAGGGAGGTGGTGATCGGTGATGTGATTCACAAGGCCACCCTGGAGGTTAACGAGGAGGGCACCGTTGCAGCTGCAGCTACCGGTGCGGTGATGATGACGAGGAGTGTCGGTGCAGAACTGAGATGCAAGAGTTTCCCTCCAGCCCTCCAGTATTCCAGCTAGGCGGTAGTGGAAAAGCAGCTTATTAAGCAAGGTACCGTCTCTGCCAATATTTGCCTTGACTGCCGTGTGCGAGTGTGAGCGTCGAAAGCCCTTAAGCAACTCGGACAAAGCATCGTCTGCCCTGCAAGCAACACGAGATTTGGCTACGTACTCACTCCAAGAGCAGCCAGGAGTATGCCGTTGAATCCACCGAAGTTCATGAACGTTGACCGGCCCTTCCTCTTCCTGCTCAGCGACCGCGATGGCACCTTGTGTGAGGGGTTTAGGGCTTGCATAGGCGAAAACCTCCCACACACCACCCACACACCCACACCCACAACCCCGCACCCACACAACACAAACCCACACTCCCACACACCCACCCACCCACCCACCCACACCCACCCACCCACACCCACCCACCCACACCCACCCACCCACACCCACCCACCACACCCACCCACCACCCACACCCACACCCACCCCACCCACACCACCCACACCACCCAACCACACCACCCACCCACCCACCACCCACGCACACCACACACACACACACACACACACACACACACACACACACACACACACACACACACACACACACACACACACACACTTACACTTACTTACACACTTGTTGAAACCACGAGGGTTCATCACTGGTGAATCTCTGGTATAACAGCGGACTCAAACATCAAGCCGGAGCGAAACTCGGACCCCCACCTTAGTAGCAGCGGAACGGCCACCAGCGAAACATAAAACAAACTCACCCCATCGAACGCCGCAATCGCACTTGCACACAGACCAGTCCGGCGGTTCCTCGCCTGCGGAGTTCCACACACGTGCTGTTCCACGGTGCACATCAATGTTCGGTGAGGAATGCCATACTTGCGTATGCCGGGTCGCAGGATATGGATGTTTCATCGACGAATGCGTATACGTCAGCATGTGGCCCGTGTTCCGAGTGCGCTGCCATCCGCCGCACCACTTGCCCCTGCCAACGATGACGCGCTTGCGGTGTCTGCAGCAAAGCTGGTCATGCACTAGCGGCCTACTGGGTGTCCTGGGCTTACGCTTTCCTAGCCGTTTCTTCCCGACACTTTCCCAGCATTTCCTCCGGCGAACGGTCCCGCGCACTTTTCTTTGCCCAGCTCGTGGTGCAACCACGCGTGATGCCGCTCCGACGCCTCCACTGGCCATTGCCATGTACTGCAGCACATCGCAGATGCCGAACATGAACAACCGAGCGACTTATGTCAATCACTATGGCGCTTCGCATGTTGCGGTGTCTTTAATTTTGTTTTGCTGTTTCACGTTTGAATTAGATTTCAACCGGCATTAGCGAAGTCATTGCCGGATCTGCACGTGTGCTTGCAAAAAACTCGACGTCCGCTCCCACACCTGCTTAAACAGCCACATCTTGGTTTTGCTCCGAAGTTGTTTGCGTCCACTCCTTGCTCGGGGCAATATCGGCGTTTGCGGAAGCTTGCGTTCGTATAAGCCACTTTCTTGCCGCAATCGGACAACGTTCCGTTGTGCAACTCGCCAGCCGTGTTGCTTCGAAAGTTCCTGGCTTGTGAATGTGGTTGCTCTTCAGGTGTCTAGCATGCTGATTGATGCGTGCTGCCCACCATGACACTTCGCACGTGCCGGCTTTCGCATGTCTCGTGCCGCACGTATCGCATGTGGCATATTGAATGGCGTATTGATCAAATCCTCACTTCGCACATTCAGACCGATCAGATCCTCAGCTCGCACATTGTCTAAGGTCCGCGCTTCAAAGCTGTTACTGGAGTTTCGTCGGAGGTTCACTGCCAGGTTTTTTAAGACTCATACTCTTCAGATGCCAGCTCTCAAACCTTGACAGGAACATTCCGGGCTGGC